TATTATTTGTTTAATATTTATTAAAAAATAATTGGATGTATTAAAATTTATAATTGAAAATAAATTCTAACCACAGGCGTAGCATTTCTGCCCGTGGCTTTCTCCTCATCCATAGCAGACGGCAAATGGCCAAATGATTCTTCACTCAAAGAGAAGCCGTCGGGCCGTGCTCAAAGCGCTTTGGCAACGTGGGCAGCGCTGTCGCTGCTCACGTTAAAGGCGACAGCGACGTCGATGTCGGTGTCGACGTCGACGCGCTCGACTCGGTCGGTTCGGCTTGCTGGTCGGACTGCGTAAATTTATGTGAGAAATCCCATTGAAAAGAGCAACGCGGCCGCTCACGACACAATAAAGCAAAATAATGGCACATTCGTCACACTTAACGCGGCCGCATGCTGCCGTCCCTGTCGCACGTGCGATGCGGCTCTGGTGCGCGCTCGCTCGCACACACACAGAGTCGGCGGCGTCATCCATCTTGGAGGCGAGCGCTAGTGCTGCTCTCTGGCAAGCGACAGGCGAGAATGCTTTATGAGCGCGCGCTGCAGCGGCTCCTCCCTGTTTGCGACGCGTTGCCAATTGGTGGCGGCGACGCTGGCCGAGGCAGAGGCCGAGGCAGCGGCAGCGCCAACGCAAAGTTGGCCAAGTATCACTGTTGGAGTCGGGTATGGTTTTTTCAGCAGCATGTTGCACGTGGTGTTGCACAGTGTTGCAGACACACAGCAGCTGCTGCTGCTCTCTTCTGCTTCTTCATTTTCTGCCTCTGCCGATCTCATGCTCTCGCTCAGTGCGACCAACAGCTGTGGCAAGAGAGCAGCAGCCGTAGCGAAAATGAGAGCAAAGAGACTGAGAGCGAGTGAGAGAGAGAGAAAGATGCTGTCAAGCCATTTCGCTCATTCGGGGTGGTTCTGTGTTGCGTGCGTCTGTGTGTGTGCGTGTACTTACATGCGTGTGTGTGTGCGTGCGTGTTGTTTCTGTTTTGCGGCGATTGTACGCCATGATTGTTGTGCCGTCGGCAAACAAAGATTTCAGATATCCGGCAGCCATAATTCTTAACAGCGAATAGCTCAAAGTATGAAGCGCGGGTTGCAATACTATAAATTTGCCAAATTATTTTTATGAAATAGTAAAATAAAGGTTTTTAATGTACACATTTTTTTTAATATACTACAAAATTATAATTATTCTTTATCTAAATTTATTATGTTATATATTTTTTATGTTCAAAATTAATCAACAAAAATATACGTAAATATTTGGTATACTTAAAGCACATATGTTAAAAGTGCAATACCTGATTTTTTTTTTTTCATAATAATAATTTAATAATTCGGTTCAATGGGAGCTTCGGTTATCTTAAATAAAACTGAAAATTGTATGGGAAATTCTGATTATATTATTGTATTTTACCTATTCGAAATTAGGAACATTTAATTAGTTTAACTACCGCATTCCGCTTAAGCCGAAAGCTAAGTTTAAATTAATTTATACAAAAATATATAAATTCGCATGAATATATCGCATAGAAGATATTTGATTCAAGTTAACATTTTATCTTATTTTAAATGAATGTTATATATCTTATATAAATATTTACATGCAAAAAAAATTCAAATTATTACATAAAAATGATTCAATTTTATTGAAAAACAAAATATAACGTACCAAAATAAAAATTCAAAATTGTTTCAGAAATTCGCATGTCCATTAGGTTTCAGCTCAGCTATGAGGCAAACTTGCTGCACGGAGCCGTCGCAACTCAGACTGGCAAAAGCCGCAAGTGGCCGCTGTGCGAATGTGAGATACAAACACAACTGGCAGCGGGCAACTGGCAACTGGCTGTGCCACAAGCTGTGGAAGCTCTCGCAAACGTAAATTTCGCACTCATTCACTCATTCGCTCAGCTCAGGAGCTCCAGAGCGCCGAATGCGAGCAGAAGATACTTTTTTTTTGGTATGTTTGTTGTTGTTCGTTTCGTAGTGACTGCAGATACTTTATGGCCGACGCTAACGGCGCCGTCAGCGCTACCGTCGACGCTGGCGTCAGCGTCGGCAGCGTATGGCATAAATAACGTTGGCAGCGGCTCGGCTGCGGTTCTCTCTTTCGCTGCTCGTTACTCGCTGCTCACTGCTCAGAGCTCGGCGCGTGAGTTTCTTATAAGATTATTTATATACTGTTTGGGGGGCAGTGCGCCGCTGCTGGCGTTGGCAGCGCTGCGGCAGCGGCCGGCGCGTCGCTTCTGGATTAATAAGGAGTTCTCGCTTGGATTTTCACATGTATATGCTTTGAATTGAATGCTTTATGGGTTTAGTTTGATAGAAGTCGTAAAGAAATCAACATCACACAATACAAAAACGCACCCGTGTGTAGTGTAAGCCGTGTATGCCACACGTTGTCCGCCGTCGTTGTCGTTGTTGTTGTTGCCGCCGCCGTCGTCGTCGCCGTCGCTATCGTAGTCGTTGTCGTTGTCATAGTTGTTACTCTGGTTGTTATTGTTGGGGGGCACCATCTGAGCAGGAGCAGCAGCAGCAAGAGCAGAGSCAGCACCACCAGCAGCAGCTGAAGCAGCGGCATCTTTTGGGTCTGTTTGCCCAAACTATTCGGTCGCTTACGGTCGTCGTGGTCAGCTCGTCGCAACGCCGCCAATACGCCCGCCCGCTACGCTGCGGCCAATTGACAGCTCGTAAAAGAATCGTTAAAATCATAAAAATTATCATAACAATAATCGTAAAAAATTAGAACCGCAACACCAGTCGCACATTGGCCACAGCCACAACCAGAGCAAGAGCCAGAGCCAGAGCCACAGACACAGACAATAATCGCAGTCAGAAGAAACGCGCGCGTTTTCTCATACTTTCTCTCTCTTTCCCCCGAGCACTTCTTCTGCTGCTGTTTTTTATGATGTTGACCCGCGTAGATACTTAAGAGCCCATAAACACCTACCGTTCCAACGTCTGGCAGGTGTCTAACTCGGCAATCAAATTGTGCAATAAGTGAATTAGTGTTAGCATTACACTTGTTACACACTCCAACCAAATAAATAAATACATGCATAAATACATCAAGTGATTCACGCTAAATATTTCTCCTGACTTGGCTCTAGCCAAAGCGTGTGAAGTTCGTCTAACATTTCTAGTCCCAAAGTAAGCAATATCTATACAAACCCAGCAGACAGCCAAAAAGAAAGAAGAAGAAAGAAAAAAATAACAAAGTTCAAGAAGGTAAAGCAAGTGCAGATAAAAACATAAAAGAAGAAAAGAAAAATAATCAAACAAAAATCTACAAAAAAAGTTTACGGTGTAAAAAGTTTCTGAGCACGTGCACAACTGCAAGTTGAATTCGTAAGCCAGCCATAAGGATCAAGGATTTGCGCATTCAAATTTGGATTTAGACGGTGAGTTGCAATACTATTTGCAGTTGCCGCTTTTTGCGGCAACACTCAGTCAACACTTCATAACTCATAAGCTGCGCTCCCCAGTCTCGTTGCACATCATTCAAACTGCAAACTGTTGACAGGCTTATTAGACATTTGCATAAATTTGGCCAGCTAGTAACTATGTCCACTTTCGAGTGTCCACTGTGCAGGAGTCGCAGTGACCAGAGAGATAGATTCTGGAGTCTGAATCAGGGCTAGCTAGGAGTAATGGTCGCTTTGAACTTGGAATCGTTTTGAATTATTGCACATATCCTGGGCAACATAGTTTCACTTCCGCATGCGGCAGCCATTGCGGAGTGTGAGTGCACACACTCACACACACACACACTCATAGACAAACTGCCTGTGCATAGAAAATTTATGCGGCCATTGTTGCGGCGCATTGTTGTTGCTATTGTTGTTGTTGTTGTTGCTGTTGTTGCGAATGTCCTAGTTGTCTGCCTCCTGCATATTTGTCGCACTCTTTGTCTGCACTGCAACCTTCTCCCTCTCACTCTGTCTCTCTCTGCCTCTCTCTCTTTCTGTCGCTCTCAATTAAATCTCTGTCTCGCTCGCTCTATTTCCCTCTCGCGCTCATTGCACTTGCGCTGAGATTTATTTCATTTTGAATGTTCAATTATTGTATTTATTTTATATAAATAATACAAAATATTTGTTTGATTCGTTGTTGATTTTCTGCTCAATAAAAGCCCTTAATGAACCTGCGAGCTCCTCTTTATTTATTTGTTGTTCGCGCACTTGTTCTCTATAAACAAATGGAGTTCAGTTTGTTTTTAACAATTTTTGCCATCAGCAATGATATTATTTGCTCATAATTTATCGATTTAATCAGCCGGAAATGTTTCACAGCTGACAAAATCATAAACTCAACTACGATTGCTCGATCTGCTCTTTGTTTTTGTTTGCCTGGCAAAAAGTTCATGATTTATGACTCGGACAGGACGGGCGGACGGACGGACAGTGGGCATCACACAGTCACATTGATGCACTTCCAATTGTCGCACTAGTTACAGTCGGCTTGATAGCAGAATATTTTGATATTTGATAAATATTATCAATTAGTCAGGGTATTTATTATTTAAAATAGCTTAATGGGAAATGTGTATATAAATAAATAGATACCTGTATACTGCATTAGAGATAGATATTATCTATTGCAAATACAGAAAATGTTTCTACGTCTAATACAAGCATCAAATTCCTTTTTAAATAATATCAATATAAATTAATAACATTAAATTTTGCTGTGTTCTTTACACATTTAATTACACAAATATTTAAAAAAAAATTGTATACATATTTAAACAAATATTTATATTTTATTTTCCCTGAATTTCTTTGCATATTCGTTTAGAATGCCTTTAATAAATTAATGTATTTTAATTATTTGTTTATTTAAAACAATTTCGATATCTTCATTTCACTATGCCCAATTCGTGAATGAGTAAATGAGTAATAGTTTTCTCCCTCATTCCCTCGGCATAATCGAATGTGTTCACATTTTAATCAAATTCACACATTGGGACATGATTTATATATTTAATAATCCCGCCATAAAAATGGCGACAACTGTTTTGTAAATGCATTAATCACCGCTGCTCGGACGTCAGAAGGAAACTAAAGCCGAGCTAAACATGCAACAACAATAACAAATGAAACAGACCAACAAATAAAAGTATGTATACACATATATTTATGTATATGTGCATATTCAGAAACAAAAAGCTCGGAGCAACAAAACAACGAAGCAAAACTTGTTTGCTTAAAACAAATGCCGTGCCTTTGAAATTGAAATTATATTCAAAATCATTGATAAATGGCGACACGAATCGACTAATTAATCAAATGCAAAACTCCAAACGAATAATGAACCAAAAAAAAAAAGCCCAGAAAACCACAACAAAAAATTCGAATGTCTAAGCCCAAAACAAAACAAAAAAATTTCACACTGATTATATACGAATTCAATAAGTTAGTCTTAAAACGGTATTTACTGCTGATAAATTGCTACATTTGTATTTTGTTAAAGTTCACAAAATGACGAAAGGAGTTCAGAAGTTCAGAAGTTTATATCGAATGCTATTAATTATTTTGGTTGTTTCTATTTCTAAGAAAACTCTCTTGGGGGATCGTTATTAATCTGCTGAATCGAATTTGTATTAAGTAAGAGGAATATATTAAGCTTTTGAGGTGCGTTTAATCAAATACAAATTATGAAAGTCTCGCGAGATTATAGGAATATTATAACATAATATTATAAAATCATTTCGACTTCATATGTCAAATTAAAATAAATTCTTCTATGTTCGAGTTGACATAGTGTTCCTACATAGTATTCTCTTAAGACCAAACAATTTTAAAATGGAGATACATATAAATCTAATTTTATAACAATATCAATACAACAATGTCCAAAGATTAATCAATTTCAGCTCAATGTAATAACATTCATTTATCCATTCAAGTATAAAGACTAGCTTACTTTTCTTGCTTAAACTTTTTAATCCTTAAACTTTAATTTTAATCGACAATTTGTCTATCTTAAATGTTTCCATTTTAGCTTAGCAGTTCTTATAAACACGTCTCGCTTTTTACTTTGCCTCACGCTTTTTTCTCTGCCCTGCCAAAGGCTCTCAAGCTGTTCCCCCACTCAGGCGAAAACTGTTTAAGCCAACGGATTTTCAGTATTGTACGAGCTTTTTATTTGTATTTTCATATTCTTTTTATATTTGTTTTCCTTTGTTTTGCCACTTGTTGTGGTCTTTTTTGCCGTGCTATTTAATTTCTGTGCGGATTTTGATGTAGCTGCAGCAAAACAAGGACTAAGCAGCCCCCAGTTGCTCAGCATTGGGTGGCAATTTGCTGTGGCTGCAGTTTGTTTTGCCAACTCTGTCTGTGTGCGAGTGTATGCATGTGTGTGTGTGTGTTTGGGGGTTTTTGGAGCTTGCAGCTCAGCGCCTTTTGCGAGTGCACTCGAACTGTGCTTGCTGGCCCCAGCACGGACTCAGAACTGTGCTGTTGCAGTCAAAATATAGGAATCGGAATCGGAGTCCGAGCCAGAGCCAGAGTCAGAGTCAGAGCTGGGGCCGCCCAGCGGGGCGCTCTCGCAGTGACATTGCGCCGAGCGGGTGACAATGATTTATGGCAAAGAGATACGCGACAACGAACGCAAAAAGACAGCAACCAAAAAACACAAAAAAATAAAATTGAGAGAAGAGAATGCAAAAAGAAACGCAATGAGCACGAGTGAAAGAGTGCGAGAAAGTGTGCTGTGAAAATGCACAGAATTCTTATTTATTCTATTTTTTATTTTTATTTTTTTGGCAAACCCTACCTGATCGAGCACCTTTTAAGATTCAAAAAAACTTCAGTTTTTTTTTATGCGCAAAATGTCCTTGAAATTGCAACAACAAACGGGCAGCTCGAACGAAAGTGAAAACCTGCTGCGTGATTTTTCATATTTTACCTTTTTGTCACTTGCCGTTGTTGCTTGGCCCGCTGCACATGTCACAAAAGGCCATAAAGAATTTTCCGAAATATGATTAGCCATTAGGAAGTCACCTGGCTGAAGGTCGCACTCAGCACTCAACACTCAGCACTCGGCTCTCGTCAGTTGACTCTCAGGTTATGCAATAGTCATTTGCAACGGCCATAAAAATTAATATGCGTCCTTCGCAGTGGCAATTTGGTGCTCGTATCTCGGCAAATGCATCTGCGGGCCACAGCATTTGACTTTGAACCGCTCCGGAGCCGCTGGCTCTGCCGCTGACTCTGCCGCTGGCCCTGCCCCTTGCCGGGCAAAGCGGACATGACTTTTGGCTTGACTTCGTCTTCGGTCTTAGTCTGCGTCCATTGTGTGTGTGTTTGAAGGTTACCTGTTTTTACAGTTGGCCATGCAGCGCTCCTTCTGCTGTATCTTTCTCTTCGCCTTCGTCTTCTACTTCTCCTGTGTGTGTGTGTGTTTTTTTAGTATTTAGTTTTTCATTCTCGGTCTGAAATTATTATTTATGAGTTCGCATTGTTGTCGCCGTTTTGAAAGTGATCTGAATCGCCAGCATCGACCTGGGCACGGATCGCACACACACACACACACAGAGAGAGACACACATGGTTATCTGCTGTTTATCTTCTGGTATCTGCGGCAGTTCGCTTTGCTCAACAACAAGATCAGCTCCGAGCGCGTTGCATTTGTGTTTTTACTTTCAGTTGAAACCGAAAATTCGTAATAAATCAAACCATTTGTATGCAGTTCAATGTGTCATATGCACATAAATCAATTGATGCTGTTTAGAATCCTGTGCTCTTTGCATTGTGCAAAGGATTAAGATTGAGCAACAAAAAGAAAAATGTTGAATAAACTGAAATACGTCAGATGCATCGTTCCCTTTTAGTTATGTGCAGCTTGAACTCCAGAAATTATAGCTAATTGTGATATTTATTTCAATTTGTGAAATTTATTTCATACATCAGACAAATATTTACTTTGAAAGGAAAACAATTTTATAATGAACAACGAAAAATTGAATTGGAAATATTTTTTATTGAATTTAAAAAAAAAGTTTTTCATAAGAGTTTTTAATATAATTTGAATTTAATTTTAATTTTAATTGACTTTAGTGATTTTTAAATAAATTATAATTGCAAATATTATTGTATTTTTCTTATTTTCCGTCTAATTTAATTTCATATTATTTTATTTTCTATCATATTTTTGCATCTAATTTTTATTTAACTTTTATATATAGATAAAAATAAAACAAATGCATTAAGATTATAATAGCAATTTTTAATTTAATTCAATTCCATTAAATATAAAATATTTATTTAAATGTTGTTCCTCATACTTAATCTAACAAAAAAGTGGAACTTTTTCCCTGCTTCCTACTCTCTTTGCTCCATTTCTGTTTTGTCACTTACAACTGGGTTTGTCTTTTGTTCCTTGTTTTTCAACGTTTTTT